TTAATGACTGATTTGGGTTTTGGACAACAACATGAGCTGCTAATTGTGTGTATGCACACTGCACAAGCACAGCGTCTTCATAGAAAAGTGCTGTTTTTTATTTAATTTTTTTTTTTAAGTAGATCTTTTGCCAAGGTTAACCTTTGACAATTAACCCTTGGTGGGATTCTATAAATTATATAGTTTTCTAAACCTTAGTGGAATTCTAGAAATTAAAGTTTTCTAAACTTTTTTTGGTTATTTTAAAATTTGACCTCAGATTCTTTTAATTAGTTAAAGCAATACGGGAATTTGAAGCTGTGACATTTTGGTCAAGATTATAGTGCCGTGACTCGTTGGAGTTTACATGTGATTGATAGACAAATAAACGTTATTAAACAAAAGGCTATTATATATATACAAACAGGATTTCAATACTAATTTGTTGTTCAATTTGCTAAAATTAATAATAATACTCTTTATTATTTGAACTCGGTTGTTGGGCCGATTAGGCTTGCCAGGATGGGCCAATGTTTTGGGCCGAAAACAAGGGTTTATGAAAGGCCAATCGAGGATCACAAAATCCAAAAAAGAGAAATATTTGATTTAAATCAAAATTCCGCCCAAATGTATCAGAGAGGTTCGACAGTGTGACCTGAGGCTCATGGGCCCACGAATGGGCCAATGTTTTGGGCCAGCAACGAAGGGTGATATAAGCCAAAGCCCAATCGAAGATGACAAAATCCAAAAAAGAAAAATAAAAAAACCAAAAAATAATATCAGAGACAGGTTTCGATCCTGTGACCTGTGGGTTATGGGCCCACCACGCTTCCGCTGCGCCACTCTGATTTGTTGATATATACTTCAAAATAATTGTTAATATTAACAACTAAGTATTTTGGGCCGGTAATGGGCTAATGTTTGGGCCGAAGATGAACCCTTGACGAAAGCCCAATGAAGGGTCCATGGGCATTTTCGTCACATCAGGGGATAAACTTTCTAACGACCGACGTCAACATCTCATCGACGTATACATACGTGCCACGTGTAAAACCTTTCGCGCCAAATAAAACCGTCTAAAATTCTCCGTTTCACTTTTTTGTTTAACCAATCCCAGACTTAGACGCGAAGAACTCTCACTTCATCTCTGCAGACTGCAACCAATTCCTCAGCCTCCATCAATGGCTTCCGCAGTCTCCATCTCTCTCATTCTTCTCTCTCTCTTCTCTCTCTCCTCCCCTTTACCCTCACAAACTGTTCTCGACGCCGCTGAAATCTTGTCCGACAATGGCTTCGTTTCCATGGCTCTGACGCTTGAGCTTATTGCCGAATCCTTGCTCTCCCACTCCAATTCCCTCACCATTTTCTCACCCTCAGACGCCGCTTTTGCTCAATCAGGTCAGCCTTCTCTCTCTCTCCTTCAGTTCCACTTCTTGCCGCTCTACTTATCTCCCGAAAGCCTCAAATCGCTCGCGTCTGGCACCAAGATTCCCACTATGTTGCCCGGTCGATCGCTCACTGTCACCTCTTCTTCCCGATCTGATTCCGAAATTTCCTTGAACAGAGTCAAGATTAATAGCTCGCCGTTCTACGATGACGGTTCGCTAATTGTTTTTGGGGTTGAGAAGTTTTTTGACCTGAAATTACAAGTTCCGCCGCTTACTCAGAGTCCGGGTGGTGCGGAGTTTCGGTGTGGTCCATCGACTGAGGAGAATCCGTTTGGTGAAGCGATAAAAACCCTAAAGTCCAATGGCTATTCTTCGATGGCATTGTTTCTTGAATCTCAGATTCCAGGGTTCAATAATGGTCAGTCCATGATGACCGTCTTTGCTCCATCGGATGAAGCATTGGCGACTCGCGTTGATAACTTCACTGAGTACCCGTCTCTGTACTTTCGTCAGATTTTGCCGTGTAGAATCTTGTGGAATGATCTTGTGAATATTGAGGATGGCACGGAGTTAGCTACATATTCGGAGGGATATACAATTTCTATCGTGAAATCAAGCGGCATGTTGACGATTAATGGAGTTGAAATCTTCTATCCTAACATGTATGTCAACGAGTGGCTAGCTGTTCATGGCCTTCTTTGATGTTTTTTCTGTGGCAGAGACTCTCAGCAGAGGAATCGGATTCAGAAATTAGAAACACCACTCGGGAGAAGATGGCACTGGATCATTGGTAAGTGCTGAAGCCATTAAAATCTTTTTCTTCCGCTGAACAACACATCGATTCACCACTTGTACATTTCAAGAACTTTTCTGGCGTTCATGTGTATCTGTGATAAAGAAAATTTAACATGGAAGTGGAAAAATTTTCCTACAACTTTCAGCTTGTTCGTATACACCCATCAAGAATTGGCTTCATTGTAAGTTTTGAGTGAACAAATGGAACATCATTTTGAGATGAGTGGTGAAGCGGTTTAAGCAACAAGAGGGTTAATTTCTTTGAGATTCAGAGCAAAACAGACCATTCTTGCCATCTCATACTAATGGTTGCAGCTTGAACACATAATTGCCTATAAATAGTAAAAATGATCAAGAAATGGACCCAAAATTTTGCTTTGATTATGTACTAGAAATGACATATATTCAAACACAAAATGGCGCTTTGCGCCATCTTGGTTTCATCCCTCGAAAGGGAGTGGTATACTTATATATGTATATAGCTACTTAACCGTAACATTTGAAAAGGAAACTTAAGCTTTTAACCAGGTTTCTTTATCTTTTTTTTTTTTCTTCTCTACTTCTTCTCTAAACTACACTTGTGATGCGCGATGTGGTGGATTCATCGGTTCCACCTGTTCTGTTAGTATTTTGGTTGGCATTTCTCCTGATGCTTGATGAGGTTGGTTCATCGTTTCCACCTGTTTCATTAGTATTTCGGTTGGCATTTCTCCTGCGGTTTATCGACAAGGATAGCTTGGCAGACACTTCCTCCCATTGGGGGTGGTTTGCATATAGTATCCATAGCAAGAGACAGAGTAATATTCCAACTGAAACCATTGCAAGTCCAATATTCACCATCTTGAGATGATGGTGAAGATGAGGACAGTAAGCTGTGGTGATGTTGTGAAATGTGTCCCTTACAAAATTGCAGTTCTGGAAGCTGAGCAAAGGGGGAGTGTAATGCTGAAGTGCATAACTCTCATTCACTGCAGCCACCAGCTCTGCATAGAAGTCCGGTGGCACCCTCCCGACCGTGGTGCACACTCCAGATTCCGATGCTTGACACACAAACTTCTGCCAAACCTGCATTTAAAAGCAAATTAACGGTTAATGTCAAAACGAACACAATCAAATACAAAGAAAGATGATTCAGAACCAGTCATAATGGTTGACATAATGTGGATATGTCTACAAACACCCATAAATATCACCCGTATAGACATATTCCCAAGTTAAACTGCAACGAGATAATCACTATATGAATCTTCTTACCGTTGCTGCATTCTCAATAGTCACGTCGTTATCACCACATCTACTTTCTTGCAGCTGAGAATTATACGGGTAACAGAGAGCTGGCATTTGAGGTCCGGACTGGTTGCGATAGTTGGGAGATCCTGGGGGTGGATTTGCATTGGCAAAGTTGTAGACAAATTGATCGACGACGCCCACAATGTCGTTGACAATCTTTTTACTCTGGATCAGTGTCTGGTTTGTGGTTCTGTGGTCAACACATGGAAGGATATTGCTAAGAGCTGTTTCCGCATGTGGATGATCCACCCATTCTTCCATTGCCATACATGTATCAGAAACAGCACTGAAGAAGAGAAAAACATGGGGATAAAATAGACATTAGTGAACTCGGTCTATGTTTTTCATATCAAAGAAACCAGGAAGTGATGACAGTAAATATCACAGTTTCATAAGCCAATACGAAGATTATTTTAGTTAATGTTGCAACGATATAGCCGAACGGTAAACCAACTTACTTGTCAAGGATTACAAACAGTCCACAAAGAACAAATGTAAATGCAACAAGTAGCCAACCACTGATTATTAATCTGAAAAGTATGATGATATATTGGTTAGTCTACAAATATATATAGATGCATCTGAAAAGTAAAATAAATCGACCACAAGAGAGATAACCTACATATAAATTGCATGTTGATACCCAAAGAAGGATAGAACTGCAAAAATGGCAGCCAGTGAGTTAAAAATATGCACCAAGTCCAATAATCAAGAAAACTAAACCAAGTATTAATAAGAAATACATACAAAGGCCAATCAAAGCCAGGAGAAGCATGAGCGCGGCAACAGTAATTAATGCTGAACGGCTGCACTAACACATTTTATGTTAGCATTTTGACATCACAAAAGATGTAAACTTCATTGAATGGAGCAAGTTGAAGATACGTACACAGCAATGAAAACTCTCTTTATTTTGTGAGAGTTTGTAGTTGTCTTCTCTGCCACTGTATCCGCAGCAGTATTTAAATTCACATTTAACTCGTCAATTTCATTCATTACATCGAATGGAAGGAACACCTGTGCCACATTAATGGTCTTTGCAAGTGAGAGATACTCTGTAACATTTTTAAGCGTGTCCACGGTGTAGTCTGACTGGTTTACAACATACTTCAAAGTATTCATAGCTTCATTGTAAAAATTATTCTGTCCAATAGATAGAAGGATACAGCCAATGCTGCAAAATGGAAATATGAGCTTGTGTCAAAAAGAAGTCGAGACTCGAGACGATTCGAACATTACTTAAATTAAAAGAATTTGATTAATAACACAGTTTTTTTTTTTTTGGTCGGGGTCCCTTAGATAAGAGTTTCAATATTTTAAAATTGTTATAAAAGTAAAATCATCAAGCCCTATGAGAAATAACATAATTAAGAAGTTGGGACGATTTTAAAATTACTTGAGATTAAAATAATATGATTAATAAGATAGAATTTTTAGTTTTTGTTGGGGGGAGGGGTGTCCTTTGATAAGAGTTTCAATATTCAAAATTGTTCTAAAAGTAAAATCATCAAGTTCTATGAGAATAACATAATTCAGCGAAAAAGAGTAAACAAGAGCTTGTCCTGAAAATTGTTTCCAAAATAGTTCTGTTTTTTTCTTTTCAATACAATTTTTCAAGGGTAGTGATTGAAGTTAAAATTCACAAATATGTGATTTTGAAAGTAGAATACATTCTAAAAATCAAGTCATACATGAAATCAAAACCCAAATGTCTGTGAATCTAAACTCTTGTAAAAGATAATAACATTTTCTTTATGCACTCTATGTAACAATTTGGATCTTTAATAGTTTATGCACCAAATCCCCATAAAAAAGTTTGGTTAAAAATGAACAAATACAAAATATATTTCTAAGAAGCTTTAAAATGAGAGAAAGCACACTTTCAAAATCTAAGATACTTTAAAGAGAGTGTAGAATATTACGTGGCAGCGCATGTGAAAACAACAAGTAATGCTAGGCAGACCCACTGTGAAGCCTTTGATTCTTCGCCTTTAAGGTTTATCTTCCATCCGCAGCAATGGTGAACAAGAAGAGCAATGCCAAAGGAAATGAACCAAAAGATGGAAAGAATGAAACCAGTTGCACCAGTAAATCCAACAGACTGCAGACATATACCAACACGACAGAAATGAGTACTAGTCAAATAGTTTGAATAAGAATAAATCATTGTAAAAGGATACCAAATTCCAAGTAATAGCCTATAAAAGCAAAGATCATATGCTAAAACATGAAACCATTACAGGTATAATGTGAAGATTTTCCAAGAGCTTCGCACAACAAAACATAGTATAGCCTTTTACCAAACATTCCAATCCTGAACCTACAGAGAAATCAGTGTTTATTTACTGTCTCCAATATCCTCAGGCCGAAAAGCACAAAACTCGAAGCTTACTCGTGTCACAAGCAATTTGGAAATTTCAAGAGCACTAAAAGAACTTCTTACTTCGATCAGTTAAATATGAAATCAATCCATTGATCGAATAATATCATTAGTTACTTTGAAGGAAAACGATTGCCATTAAACCCTTCTTCATTCCCTAAAGACGTGCTCTGCTATCTAGAAAATTTAGACAGTGTATGAATAAAATTCTGGAACAAGTCTTCAAAAATTTTCTAACCACTTGAAATGCTATATCTAACTTGCAAACATGTCAAACAAATTACAAGAAATTGTATAGAATAGTATGATAACGAGGTAAACAAACCAAACTCAATTAGTAGAAAATGAGCATCAGAGCTTACAGCCCAGTAATTCCGATTAGTAAAGTCCCAGCCCGCTTCATACACCCTAAACCCATGAAGAATATCTGGACGCTTTGTTCTATTTGCTGCCAACACAAGTGGGGGTTGAGAGTCGTTATTTGCAGATCCTGGGCCCTCAGCACTCTCCAGTATCTCATTCTTCCAAGGACCTAAGTTCTCTTCTCCTGCAAATTCCAGGCTCCTTTAGTAAATCAATGAACAGAAAAATACTTAGAGAACAAAGCTGTAACAGCTCCACAGAAAAAAAAGAGAGAGCCGTTTCGTTTACAATCAAGAAGAGGTTCAATCAATCTTATGCACAATGTGGACGCTTAGAATACAAAAGTACAGAAGAACATTTCATAACTTCCAGAATTTCCTCTCGTCGAGTCACAGAATTAAGAAATAAAGCGATAAAGTATGTCTCAAACAGATTTTAGCCTCCTTCTAAGCAAGACAAGAGCATCCACTCCTAAAATACAAATTATACTCCACAAAAAACTGCGATGATTTTCCCACTCTCATTTTCAACAGCGAAAAACAGAACCAACCCAGCACAAAGAAACAAGATCCATTGATCAAATTGACACGAAATCCACAATCAAACAAGAATAGAGAATCGAATTTAGAAGCGGTAGAGGAGGAAGCTCGGACCTAGGATGAATTTTCCAGAAGCTTCGTGTACCTCATGCTGAGGCAGAGCCAAAACCCAGCTGAAAGAGGCGAAAGCCAACAAGAACAGAAGCAAAAGCGAAGCAGGGAAACCCTTCATCGGCGAAAAAATTCACGGTACAGAGACCGCAATCGTACAGAGCTACCTCATTCGCCGATATCACGAGGCATTACGGCCTCCAAAATCCAACAAAGGAAAGAACAGAGAAAGCCGAGTCCACTCTGATCAGCGATTTCTGGGAGCGATTTTGGAGCGAAGATATGGAGATTTATAGGACTCTAAGAAAAA